AAATGGGTTATTTTAAGTTATAAGAGCTAGTGGACAAACCTAAGCTAAGGCTAGCTTTCATAATTAATAAGAAGTCTCCATAATTTTTTGTGAGCTGTCAGCCAACAACAAAGCTTGCTACAAAAAAATCACCTAGTGGATCAAACAATAATAAGCAATCAATAAAAGTAGACATAAATGAATAAAGGCAAAGGAATTTAGGCTTGAAGCGTTAGCGTGATGCATCTTGAGCCCCTTCCTTAGTTAGCAATCAGACTACAAATCTTCTGTGATGGATAAGTCTCCCTGTGAATGGAAAACAAAGAGGGGAAAGAGAGAGCATATGGGGAGAAAAGGGATGATAAGAGATGGTGTCTAATCTAACTTCAAACTCCTTACTAAAAGATAAATGAAAGAGAGAAACAAGGAACTAAAGACAGGTGCTGAATGTGGAGTTTTTTGCAGGCAGCATGATTGGTATCTTTGTTAAATAAAGTAGCTATAAAGGGAGAAGAAACTATTCATTTACTGTTTGTGTGTGGCTTGTATGAGTTTTCTCCTGCAAAACCTGGAAGCCAGAAGAGAGTGTCAGATTCCCCAGAACGCAGGTTACAGGTAGTGGGGAGCCACCATGTTGGTGCTGGGAACCAAATATGGGCCATCTGCAAGCCTTCTCAATGACTGAGTCACCTTTACAGTCCTAAGGGAGTTTACAGTGAGAAGCCACTTAAAGTAAACTTAACAAGGGCTGGATAAACGTGCAGCGGCTAAAAGAACTTCCTGATGTTCCAGGACACCTGAGTTCAGTCCTAGTGCCAACCATGCATCTCACAGCTGTCGGGACTTCTGCATCAGGAGGTCCAATACCTTCCGGCCTCCAGGAGCATCTGTCCACATGAGTCAAACACACACACACACACACACACACACTAAATCTTTAAGATGGCAGACTACCAAACACCACTTGTAGAGCTTGTTTGTATCCTGAATTTTATCTGGATTGGGGACAGTAAAACATACTTTGATTGGAATATGGATTGGTAATGAAATTGGAATTTATTTATGGTCATGAGATGGAACCCAGGACCCCACATATGCCAAGCAATTATTACTCTTATTTCTTTATTTATTTATTCGTTTATTAATTGATTTTTATTTTGACTGCTTTCTCTATGAAGCTTTGTTTGGCCTGGAGCTTACTATGAAGTCCAGGCTAGACTCAAACTCAGAGCTCCATCTGCCTCTGCCAGAGATTAAATGTGCAGGGATTAAAGACATGCACCACCACGCCCAACTTCTACCACTTACTTTTAAAACAAATGTTTTTTGTTTGTTTGTTTGTTTGTTTTGCTTTTTGTTTTCCCGAGACATGGTTTCTCTGTATTGCTTTAGAGGTTGTCTTGGAACTTGCTCTGTAGACCAGGCTGGCCTTGAATTCACAGAGATCTGCCAGCCTCTGCCTCCCTAGTGCTGGGATTAAAATCTAAATACATCAGCTAAGGCAGAGACAGACAAAACAAGAAGGAAAGGACATTGCTCTCTGTGAAGTGTATGATTAGGGCAAACTGTCATTTTGTTCCTTTCTCTAGTTTTGTGATTCTGGGCATTTCTGTGAGCATACTCACAGTCAGAGTGTGGGTGTTATTGTGTCTTGAGGATCAGGAATACCTGTTTTCTGCATTTCCTCGGGTGCAGCCGGACTGGTGCGTTTCTCATGGTGGAGCAGACATAGCCAGTTTCCTTGCAATGCACAGTTTGCTGTCTCCTCTTTCATTCTCACCTTTTCTCTGTCCATGGATGTCTGTAAGAGGCAAGGCGTTGAGGGTCCCTAGGACCTGGAAAGCGTATATCACCCTCTGTCACTTTGCAGGGTGGGGCTTCAGTTCAAAATGCAACCTCTATCCCAATTATTTCAGAACTCTATACATTGGAAAATAAAAATAACCCTTTAGATTCAATTTAGCTTGGATCTGTGTGATTATGTTCAGTCAGCAGGGCCTGAGGGCAGACGGTCATCAGTACCTGCTGGCCCTAGGGAAGTAGGTCAGGTAACAGAGTGAATGAAAGCGGGGCCAAGCCAAGTGTGGTAGGAATTATGGAAAATCATGTGTGACCCAGAGCTAAGGTCAATTATCCAGGGAAATAAAAATGTTAAAAATTGGAGAAAGTGGGATTAAGTCTTGGAGTCGGGTCCTTAAAATAACAAAAGAAGGCCATAGATATAGTGGGCTAATCTGTATTGGAAGAAAAATTATTTATTTCCCTTTACTTTGATGGGAAGGAAGAAAAGGACCAAAGAGGTCAGTGTGTGTGTGTGTGTGTGTGTGTGTGTGTGTGTGTGGTGTGTGTGTGTG